CCCAGGGGGTCATAATAGCATAAAGAAGCTCGTAACCTTACGTGACCCTCTCATTGAATCTGGTTTGCATCTCGTTAACGGCCGATTACTGTGTGGCACTCATTCTACTTCAGATTGAGAATATCAGCACGAATCGAAAAGTCATTAGTTTGTTTTTATAATATTAAATAGTGACTAAATGTCAGAGGGTTAATGGTATAACACTGTTTTATCGCAGTTGACTTCACGCTGATGCGATTTATTGAAGTTAAAAAGTCGTTATTAACAATCAAAGCGGACTATTATAATAGTAAACAGCCTATGCGGCAAGCATCGTTATCGCATTTGGCTTACTGTGTTTCCATGGTTACGTGATCATGAGAAGTTTACAGATATTGGAAACACTTTATCGTTAGCACCTTAATTGTCCCAAAGCGGAAGTAAAACGCTTATATTTGTATGGGGTTATCATACAACAAGTATTCGCTTAGTGACATGACAGATAAACGAAAACGACAAGGACCGCCTAAGGAAATAATTCCATGTTAATTACATTTAGTTTACTGTGTATTTTCTAGTCGATATCAAACTGGGTCGATTTCTAGATATGAAGAAATAGAAACCAGTGCAATTTCTATGACATTTCGGACCTCAAAAAATTGTCCGTGGGCCATTTGTTTTTCGGTATCAATGTACATCTTTTCAATAAGTACGACTTAAAAGATCTTGTGACGTCATCATGGTATATATTGATGTAAGAAATGAGATGTGCATGTGTGAGAATTGTAATGATAAACAGTGATTTCCTCCTCGATACAATGCGCCCTCCAAGAGGGGCAATCACTTTAAAAAATTACTAGTATTTTTCATTGACGGGCGACCACAGCTCAAAACAATGTCGACGGGGTGAGGGCATCCTGTACACCCAGATAGGTCAAAGACGTGTTTTGTCGCACGGCACAGTGGCACAACGGATAATGTAACAAATGATATTGCCGCATTACCCGGGCTATGTGTGTACGGATAGTACAAATCATATTTACTGCTAAATAAAAATTACCAAAATGATTGTTGCTCCATGATCGAATGAATGGCGTGTACCCCCAGTGCCTTAAAACCCACATCATGTAATTAGCATATGTCATGTTATATTTCACTCAAATGCAGAATCATTTTTAAGTATATATTTATTTCATTTCACGAATTTCCTTTTTTAATGTTACAACGCTTCATAAGAAATCAATATCAATATTTAGCTAAAGTATGTCTTGATAACTTTAACGCCCATGATTAGTGAAATCAATTTCATTATCTATAAATACAGCATTTCTCAAATACCATTTAACGTTAAATAGCTAGGAAATGAAACTTATACAAATTAAAAAATAATAAAATTCGTTGAAGTGTGACTTTTCAGTTCTGGTGAATTATAATTATTTAAACTCTTTTTACACCACTGTAGTTTTTTTTCCGAAATCCGTAGCTTGTGCATCACTATCACTCATGGTGAAACGAACAATAACGGTATTGTAACTGGACGAGGGTTAAGATGCTGACAAAAATAACGATGGTAACCCTCACTATATGTACTACTCTTGATACCGATGTCAAGGTGAAAAGTTGATCTAGAGTAGAGTATAGAGTATAAACAAGTGGTAGTCATAGTTACAGTAGAGGGTGATCAAAATAACTTAAAATAAGTTGTTTCGATTGACGACTCTTTAATTGTAATCAACCATTATTGTTTTTGCTTGGCACTAGCTGCTCACGTTTCTTATATTACTGATTGGTTAGCTGGTGCCACGTCACTCGTTGTTGACCGTTTTAAACCAATCCTTGGACGTTACGTCAGCCTGCTGAAGTAAATGCTGTTGATTTGTGTGAAGTTGTAGTTTGCGTTGTAGGTATATATGTCAATTTGATTAACTGAATTATTATTAAATTGGCAAATTTTGTGAATACTCTCAATCATGTTTAAATTGTACACGAGATGTTAATGAATCTATTGTTTGGTCACTCCAGCATCTCCAGTTGCTCAAACAAACTTTGTTTTTGGATGTGGTGAACTAGACGATGCGGGACCAGTATCTGAAAGTATTTCATTTTGGATTTCGATATCACTACACTCTATATGAGAATATGGCTCGTTGGGAATTCGTCACCCACGTTGTCAGCAACCACATACGTCGCATTCTACGTTTTGAATAGGTTGGGCTGAATCACCGCATGGTGGCGCTTCAATACAAAATGAGTGAGTTTAATTTAAGTAATGGCCACATTTAAACAAATTACTGTAGAATACTTTATGTCCGCTTGGAAGTTAGTTTCGCTATTTTCGCTTTAGGGATGCTTCAGTAAAAATAAAATCCAGCGAATATACTTTTTTTCCTATATTTCACATTCAATTCATCAAAAATCAGTGAAAATAAATTCCATACAAAACGCCCAAAATGCCTTTTCAGCGAAAATTAATTCCAGCGAAAATAAAGTATGTTACAGTATATTATTCATGAATTTCTTCTTAGTTTTGTGAACCATTGTTTTTTTTAACCCAGTGTCTTTTTGTCGTTATACGGAATATAGTATAGTATATTCATGCAGTAGTATAATATATTCATATAGTAGTATAATATAATCATATAGTAGTATAGTATATTCATATAGTAGTATAATATATTCATGCAGTAGTATAATATATTTATATAGTAGTATAATATATTCATATAGTAGTATAGTATATTCATATAGTAGTATAATGTATTCATATAGTAGTATAATATATGCATATAGTAGTATAATATATTCATATAGCAGTATAATATATTCATATAGTAGTATAATATATTCATATAGTAGTATAATATATTCATATAGTAGTATAATGTATTCATATAGTAGTATAATATATTCATATAGTAGTATAGTATATTCATAGAGTTGTATAGTATATTCATAGAGTAGTACAGGTGAAGACTGCCCGCTTTAATTATTTTAAGACAGGACAATTACATTCAGTTGCCTATGTCAGTATGTGTTTAACTTTCCCATATAATATTACTTTTGTTATTACATTCTTACACTCTAATCAATTAGTGAGTTTCTGTAACTGCTAAGCAAATGAAAAAAATGTTGTTACGTTTAAGTTAGGGATTGGTCAGTTACTTCGGCCTAGGGGGGTCGGTGGAGCAGTAGGGGGGTTACCCTGTTTTTGATTGTGCGAATAGGGGGGGTCACCCTGTTTTTGATATCATGTTTTCCAGAATTCACACACGCGCTCATGCATATATTTTTTTTAAATGATATTTCAGAACAAACGATAAAAAAGTTAATCGTACAAATGTGTTCTTAATAATAACTATTACCTATATTGCCTATAAATTTGTTGATGCAAAAAATGTTATAGGCTAAATATTTTGAGGTTAAAGTTGCCAAATAACTAACAGATTATGCAATGCGGCTAGAACCCCAATTATACAATTAAGTTTTAAACACATCCCAAGTCCATGTGCTGCTGATATCAGATTATTTTATTTAAAGTCTGAAGTCACTATTGTATAAGATATTTACTGAATTTATCCAATTATAACAGGAGACGGAAAGACAGCACAGCAATTAGTACAAAGAGCAGTGACAGTTTTTGTTCAGCAAATCAAAAAAGTTAAATTTGTGAAAATGCTGATATATGTCACACGCAACGTAATATTACCGTAATTGGTATAGTACAGGTGTGATGGTTCAAATACCAAAATGGCAACAGTAACAGAAAGACTTCCCTGGCGGCGATGATAAAATACGAACACGGAGCCAACAGATGAGGTTTCAACTGGTACTGGTATTATGATACTCTGCAAACATCAAGTACAATAACGCGGTAAAACTCCAAACCTCCAATAACTAGATACTTAAACTCCAATACAATTCAACGAGATCTCCGATCTGATCTCAGTGCTGAACAACTCCCCTATATATACCCACACTGTCTATAAATAGACCATTACATCAGCATACATAATGATTCTTGAACTTACTACAAATTTCTAGAATGTTCCATTACCTTCCATTGCCTCCTACAGTGTTCTATTACCTATTCAACCAGTTTCTAAAAAAAAATATAGAATATTCCACCCAGACACAGTACGGTTCTAGAACATGTCAGTGACACGGAAGTAGTAAATATGTCGTATGCGACAATATATAAATTAAAATAAATGATGAAAAAATAAATAAATAGTTTTTTTGTTTTTTTAACTTTTAAATATGCATATTTTGCTCTGTAAAACACCAAAATCCAACACAAATTTAAACAAAAATCAAAGTTTGCTTTGTTTTCATAAGCACAGACTGTGCTTCGGGTGTAAAGCTTTCCTGGTCTATAAGATACGAAAGATATTTTAAATCCAACTTAGTTTTCAAAGAGTTCAAACCGCCTAGATTCAAATTCTCTTTTCCTATCTTATAAGGGCGTTTATCGAGTAAGTACTCCACAGCTTTGCTTTTATTTACTATCTTTAGCAGAATAGATCCCCCCCCCCTTCCTGCAGCCATTTCTGTAGTCATTTTTTGGCTTTATGCTTCTTCTCCCATCCTAAGGTCTATTAAATGCAAACACTAAAAATTATGTCAAAATTATGGCAAACCATGATATTTTCAATGCACATATATTACATTTTGTAATTATGTCAGAGCCAAAACTGTTAATGTTTCTTTGTTTTTTTTAGGGGGTCAGCATGTTTTAAGTTTTAAAATATAATGTGTGTGGGGGGGGGGTCACCCTTTTTTTTATTTGATAGGGGTGGGTCAACTGAGATTTACAGCTGGCAAAATGGAATCAATAGCCCCCCCCCCCCTAGGCCGAAGTAACTGACCAATTCCTTATTTGTGGTATAATGTGGGTGCATTCAAAACTGTTGGGATGTATTAAACAAACAAAAAATAACTGAATAAAATAGAAAAGTTCTCTGTCCTTTGACCCATTCCGGTGACCTTATTTAACCTACGCATGCGCAATAAGCCAAACAAATATGGCCGCCGTAAAACAGGAATCGCGCAACGGCGGAGAAGTTTTTACAAAACCGGAAGATAGTGGCAACAATGGAGTGAATATTTTAGAAGGAAACCAGGTAAGGCCAGGGTGACATGTTTCTGAGTATAATCGGCGAGAGCTAAAGGTTATCTAGTTTATACTGTACCCTAGTTCACTTCAACTGTTTAATACGAACACGAAATGTCCGTCGATGTTATCATGCATTGCCAATGTCGACAACAGCATCTTGGTAAATAAATCACGACTCGTGCATTTTAATCTATGAGTAATTATAGAAATAATATCGTGGACTGGTAATATTTGCCGTTCAGTTTAAACTCAATAAATGCGACAAAACAACCTAAGGTGTATTTGTGTCAGTGATGTCATTGTTTTTAATTCACATTCGGTTTCAATGGTTATTGTGTGTGTATATGTGACGGTCACATGACATGACTCTTTTATATTATACCAGAGATACATTACTTGGGGTTTGCAACGCGCATAGTACTGTATGGTGACATCATGCCAAGATCCCATTCAACTCTCATCTCGTAGATAGCGAGACTAATGCTACGACCTTCTGGCATGACATAGGCGGTTTGTAATAAAACAATAAAACATGTATTACCACATTCATAATGAAAAAATGTAATACATCGAAAATATACAGAAAATATAGTTATCGTAATCCGTCATATCGTAAGCAGCTATTTTGATCCACCTGCACATCCCAGTATCCTAGTTACCTCGGGCATGCGCATTCGCATTTTTCTGAGTTGGAACGCTTATGCGAGAGCGAGATTGTAATGGAATCTTGGTATAATGTCACCGTAGTTGCAAACCCCAAGTAATGTACCTCTGATTATATGTATTCCACGGCGGTGGATGCTTCTCGACACAAGAGTCCAGTCAGCTGTGTTTAGTGTTATTTACAAATAATATTTGTTTACAACCATTTCGATAACTTTGCTCGTTCTTTGTTTGTTCATTAGGCAGTTTATACGCTGCAAGTTTGGGAAATCCCCAAAATCCCTTACTTACCAGTCACTACGTCGATGTAATTTTTCATCCGATCAGTCAATATTAATAGCACTGCATTAATAGAGTGGTATATTATTCTCAGTAGAAAACTTCATGGATTGTAGGTTCCTTGAGCCTAATCTACCCAATGATAATGAATATACATAATAAAGAGTAGGTTTAGATAAATTTTGTTTACAATGCAGCTTGACAATACCATCAACCCTTGAGTGCCAAAGTTAACTTAGGAACCATCCACAAAATAGTTACATTTATAGTCTGCTTTTTACACAAAAATAATGCGAAAATTTAATTTTTTTTTTTATTAAAAGCTAGAAGTAATTTTACAACTTGTCCGTTTGTTCCATAATTATGATTAAATTTAGTAAAATTACAAAAACTGTGGAGAAAATTACCAAAATTTGAGCGGGAAATAAATAAAAGGGTTAAGGTTTTTCCCGGTACAATAAAGCCTCTGTTTTAGCAGCAAACATTGTAGTTTCACTTCGTTGTCACTAACGTTAGTTATTTTACTTCAAGGTTTCTTACATAGGGTTTGATATTGATTCAATCCCTGAGTTTATTATCAAGAAATATGGATCATCAGCAAAGCGATTGGATCTCAGTTTTAATTGTCTAAGGTAAGAAACATTGATATTACAAAAACTGAATTTTTAATTAGACAACAATTACTGTAAACCACTTTCATTTCATAGGCGACAAGTTTTTGCAAATTTCGCAGGTCAGTGAAAAAATTGTAAAATTTTGTAGCAGTGAAAATTTACTCTGGGGGTTACACAAAGTGTCCGTGACTTTTGTGTTTTTGACTCCCATGTGTGAAGCACAAAATGGGAGTCTTTGCGGTTAGTGTGTCTGTATGTGTGTGTGTGTGTATGTGTGTCCGACTGTTCCACTGCTATCTCAAGAACCATACATCGGTTTTTGATGAAACTTGGTGCATAGATGCTCTGGGCCAATGCGCAGATTTGATTAGGTTTTGGTAAAAATCCATGCTCGTTAATTACCTAATTTGCATGATAATTAGCTAATTTTTAGCTGTTCTATGACTGTTCCACTGATATCTAAAGAACCACTCATTGGATTTTGATGAAACTTGGTACATGGATGCTCTGAACATATGCGCAGATTTTATTAGTTTTTGGTAAAAATCCGTGCATATTAATTACCTAATTTGCATGATAATTAGCTATTTTTT